CCCCTTCTGGCAGCCAGGATGCTGGCCGTGGACACAGCTCCTGTCCCCTTCTGGCAGCCAGGATGCTGACGTGGACACAGGTGTGTGACCCTCTGTCTCTTCCTCTGCAGGTGTACGGTGGATGACCGGGTGACACGGGTGGCGTGGTTGAACCGCAGCACCATCCTGTACGCCGGCAATGACAAGTGGTCTATAGACAACCGCGTGGTCATCCTCTCCAACACCAAGACCCAGTACAGCATCAAGATACACAACGTGGACATCTACGATGAGGGCCCCTACACCTGCTCCGTGCAGACAGACAATCACCCCAAGACTTCACGCGTCCATCTCATTGTGCAAGGTGGGTCTTAACATAGCTTTGCCGAAGTGATTGTTTGATATGGAAGGATGCTGGACTTGTGAAAGGTTTGGAGATGGAGGGATCTCCATCTGTTGCTTCAGGGATCAAGTGGCATAGGGACAGGGGTGCAGACAAGCACCTGCTTCATCAAGGAGGAGGTGGACTTGTATCATCTCAGGCTCTCTGTGTTGTGTGGTCGTCACATGGGGCAGAGGATATGTATGAACTAAAATCAGGGCTGGCACACTCCTCCTTCCACCCCTCTCCTGTGCTTGCTGTGAATTTAACCCATGTCTGCTGCTAGGGACCACATTGCTCAGCTTGCTGCATCAGAGAGACATTAATAAGGTGCTAGGGCACATGTCTGGAGGTGCTTTGGCAGAGCCAAAAGCAAAGCAGTGCCAGGCATGGCAGAGGAGCGATCTCGAACAGCGCAAGCCTTCGTCATTTTGGGTGAGAGGGCAGGCTGTGTGTGCAACCCAGCACCACTGGGTTGTGGAGGCATTCCCAAGGCTGCTCAGATGGGGATCTGGCAGATCAGAGGTACCTGTACCACTGTGGCAGGCGCCGCCTCTGGATCCTCACAGCTTTGCACTGGCTACTGGCTTTTGTCCGGTCTCTAGATTAATTTTTCAGAGTTAGTGTTAGTTCAGGTTAGATAAAGATAATGAAAGTTTCCTAATCCTCTTAAAGAAGATTTATCTGGCTGAGTAGAAAGCTCTCGGAATACAATAAAGCGTGTATAAAACCAGGACCTAATCTTTCCTTTAATTTCAAACAGCTGATGGGTATTGATTTTGCAATGAGCAAATCTGAAAAATTTCTTGGCCTCGACATGTCTCTGTGAAGCCCCCAGTGCAGATGTGTGTGTACATATGCATTGTTCTCATGTGGAGGAGGCAGGGTTTCATCACAGGCCCCCAACCTGAGAGGTTCTGCCACCTGGTCTCATCCAGAGCATGGCAGGGGGCTGTGCACACCAGGCTATGCAAAGAAGGGAGCACTCATCTTGGGAAGAGGGCAGTGGAGATCTGCTGGGAACATCCCCTCCGTCCTCCTTTCTCAGCCCTCTCCCCCTTTGTGAGCTGCATGCGAGCCGCCCGTCTGTGAAGTTTAATCTGTTTATCCTGTCTGCTCTCTAATCATTTTAATCCACCCAGTCAACACCGGTGAAGTATCTGAGCACTTTACATCTAATGAAATTAGGCTAACTGGCAGCAGCGCTCAGCACCCGCTCCCCTTGCCCCTGTTTCAGAGCAGGGCCCACGATGCAGGTGCTCTCCAGGCTTGGGTGGGTGAAAGCAAGAGATAGTTTGCACCCAGAACAGCCATCCAGCAGTGAGGCATTCCTAACTGTGCTGGGAAAAGCTTTTGCCCTGGTTTGAGTGAGTCCAGTTCAGTTGCACCCAGTGCAGCAAGGACTGTGGTTCTGGGCAGTGTTACTTCTCCCCAGCCGAAGGGAAGCCTGAGCAGAGCTGGGGATGTGTGGCTGCAGAGGCACAGGTCAAGTGGACAGTGCTGAGACTTTTCTGTAGTTCTTCTTCCATGTATTAAGCTCAAGATGTGTATGTGTGGTTGGCTGAGTTTGTCCACAGAGTAATTTCATTTGTGGAGAAATTCCATCTGTAGGTGCCACCTTGCTGCCCAGTTGATGGTCAAAGAAGCAAATCATGGTCTCAGCTCCTGCACAGTTCCTTGGTGGCTAAAATTGGTTTTTGGTGGCTCAGACCATGTGGCATGGCCTACCAGCACAATGGGCACAGCCAAGGGCTGGTGGTCTCCATTCTGGCATGCTGGAGAAGAGCCTGTTTCTATGTGGGCTCTGTGCTTGGAGGAAGGGAGCTATTTGCCAAAGATGCATTCGCTCCTGGCTGTGCAGGCAAGCAGAGAATGTGCTGTGCAGGGATGGGACCAAAGCCCTGTTTCTGTTCTAGCTCTCCTCGTGCTAAATACAACCTCCAAAACGAGGTTTGGGGCCCTCCTTCATCAAGGAAGCAGCGGTGGCAGGAGGACCCCGGCGGCACACTTGGCCTGTGCCAGCTGGCAGTAGTGGCCAGTTAGCAACTGTTTTCAGGGCAATTAATTTATATTTGTGTTTGCAAAGCTAAAAGTTGGCCGGATAGAATATCGATTTTTTGTCCCTGTATTCAGCTGGGTTTTAATTGTGCTACTGCAGGGCCCGGCCTTCCCTCCCAGCAACCCAGCAATAAATCTGCCAGGGAGTCACAGTCAACAGTAAATGTGTCTCTTAGTGTCATTATTAATATGTTCTCTTGGATTGGTTCGTTGCAACAGCCGCTAACAAGGGTTTATAGGAGAGTAGATGGCAGGAAGCCGAAGGTGGGGGGTTTGTCTCCCTGTTTCTCTGTGTTTTGGAAACTGCCTCGTGATGAACGCTTTCAGGGGCATCTGTGGTGCTTGTGTCACACCGGTGTGTTTTGGGGAGAATTAGGAGTGCAAAGAGAAGTGGCGTTTAATATTGTATAGGTAGAAGATGAGCCACCTTCTCCTCCTCTTGTCATAAGCAACTGGAGCGGAGGATGCTGCGGGGATGGACCCCAGCTGGGCTGCCTCTGGGTATAAACCCCTGGGAAGCCCATCTCTGCTCCCAGGAGGTGCAAGCTAAAGGATTCTATGATTCTAAGGGTGAGCCAGGAGACTGTGCTGCATCATGCTGCAAAATGGTTTTGGTGCAAGGAGCATGGTAAGGTCCATAGCACCTCCTTGGCGTGGGCTGTTTTGGGATTATTTGCATCTGAGAAACAGAGCTTAGGATCAGTATTTTGGTTGAGGTTGGGACTTTTGTGGTCAGCACCCTGCGAGGAAGCAAGTCCAGTGTTTTCCTTGTAGCAGTGGCTGTAGAGATGAGAGCAGACGTGCCCAAGCAGTCTAGCATCACACAGTGTTGCTTCGGGGTGTACACGCTGAGCAGCATCCTGGCCAGCAGAGATCTCATCAGTGATCTCAGGTGTCCCCCTCTAATAGTGGTACTCCTCAGATATCCTGTTTCTGATTTCTGTAGAGAACCCTCCTCTGCACTGCCTTAATCCTACTCACTGTGGATTTGTCATTAAAACCTCTCCTGCCTGTCAGCGTTGCTACCATTAGTTTCTGGTCGGCATGATCCATTTTCCCATCTCAGTGTCGGCTGCTTTCCTTGCCCCAGGACCCAGGACAGGTTTCGTGGCCTCTGTTTGCACTGAGGAGTTTGCAGTCGTCTGGTCAGCTTTCCAGATGCACCCAAGGACGCTCTCCTGGTGCCACGTCCCTCCTCACACCCACCTCCTCTGAAAGCAGCACCGGTGCTGGCGTCGCTCTGCAGCAAGCGTCTCAAAAGCAAATTGAGTTGTTTTTCCTTCTTCCTGATGGCAAGTGACTGTTTGAGTCTCCCAAAGGGCAACCCCCCCCCTGCTCCGTGCCAGCCCTATTGAGCTCTTCTTCCCTGATGTAGACCGTGCTCCAGGCTCCCCTCAGCACCGCAGATTTCTCGCTGTCCACAGTTAAGCTTCCTTTTATCCCACTGCCTTTGATATCCAGGCAGGAGCTGAGACCGCGATACTTATTAAAACCTTACCGGGAGGCTGCACGGTGAGGTGAGGCGAGCAGCTCAGCCTTCTTTGGTTCTACAAAAAACCTGATTATAGGCTCTCAGGGTGGAAAGTGCTCACATATTAAGGACTTAGTATTTACACACTGGAGAGTTTGGCATGAGGAGTGTGTTTGTGGTATACAGAGAAGGGAAAGGCTGAGAGGCACCAAAGGAGGCTCGTGCCTGACTTGGGAGCTTCGCCTGCACTAGAGCTTCAAAGAGAATGTGTTTGGGAACTGAAGGAATGAAGGTGTGGTGGCAGCTGATTAATTACTGCAAGAACGGAAAATGGGGAAGAGGGGGGAGAACCGGAGAAGTTGTTTCCCCATTTTACTTCTGAACAGAAATAACATTTTAGCGTGCACACAAATAGCTCCCTGGGAAGCACTCTCGCTTCCTAATTGTTCATAAATTTACTGACAGGTGGTTACACAGTAGGTATTACGTTGTGAGTTTTGTTTTTATTGCTTTCCTTGTCTCAAAGCAAAAACCTGGAGGGAAAGGGTGTGCGGTTGGGAGATGCTGTCTAGCATGGGGTGCTCAACATCCACGTTTCAGCTCTGTGACTTCTCCTGGTGTGGCTGGGTTTTGACTTTGCTCACACAGAGGGGTCTGTGCAGACCTGTTGACCCCTTTGCTTTTGATGCCAGTGGCTCTCATGGCATTGTGGTCTGGTGCCCTCTGAGGAGGGTGAACTATGTGGTCCTATGCGATGGTTCTGGGCTCTGAGAGCATCCACTTGGAGGATGTTTTGGGTGGGTATTTTTCTTTCCTCTTCTCTCAACTGTTCTCAAGCAGCATGCTGAAAGATAGACAGGTCACTGAGGGAATATCAGCTAGGCCAGACGACCTTGTCTCCATGGCAGAGAGGATGCATTTGAAATAGGCATGTTATGATACTTTCCTATAAAAGGATTGCACAGTGTGGTTTACCTGGGGAAGGCTGTGAAAAGGGAGTGTTAAAGATCCAGAGAAGGGAAAGGGAAGATCTTCCCCAAAATGAAGCATCTGTGGAGCACACGAGGCCTTGGCAACGTGGCACATGGCTCACTTGGCTGGGAAAGGTAGCAGAGATCACTCTGTTGACCAAACTGTAGCTGTTGGGTGTGCTTAATCCATTATCTCAATGAAATCAGCTCTCACGAGCCTCTCATCCTGATCAGGCTGTCATCAGGATGGGTCTGATCAGAGCTGAGAATCTTCGGTGCCAAGAACAGCACTATGTTAAAACTCCTGTTGTCGCCTCCTCGCCCCCCCCGTTGCTTCCCTTGCAGGCCAGTTGGGACATCAGGGACCTAAACCAAAGAGGGTTAGAGGTGGAGAACTGCATCCATCTCTACATGGCAGCAGGCACTCCCCAGCTGGCAGCAGGGTCACGGCTCTGTGCCTGCATCTCTTCTTTAAGGGCATCAGCCCCAAACAGGGGCTGTTCTCAGGAAGATTTTATATCAGCAGCACCTTCAGCTGCCATGCTGGGGCAGACCCGAAGCCGACACCAATGTGCTTCTCATCTCTGGAGGGGGTGGCAAGCACAGGCAAAATGTGAGCTTTCAGCATGTTTCCCTTCTTTGTGTCGTCTTCCTGTACGCTAATGAGTCCTTGTGCAGTGACACCTCTGACAGCTTTGCCTTGCCTGTGGTGAGGGGAGGCTTACCCAGGGCTGGAGGCTATAGTGTGGGGCTATAGGCAGCTGGGGCGTGCTGGCATGAGCTCTGGCAAGAGTCTGACCCCTACTACTGCAGCAGTCCTCTGGATCTTCCACCCACAGAGTGCCGACTGTGGGTGGAAGATCCCTGTGGGCACCCATCCTGCAAGGAGAGGTGGGCAAGTGGCTGTTGGGTGGTGGTTTGGAAAGCCCGGAGGTCTCCATCTATCCTCTGCCTTATCCAAGGCGTAGGAAGAGTTCTCTTCTAATGGATGAGGAGCTAACGATGTGGAGGAGGGACATTAGTGTCAGCACGTGTCGGCAGCTCTCGGCTCTGAGGCGTGTGGCAGTAATGATCTGGCAGCTAAAAATAGTGTGGGGCGAGCAGCTCTGGTGGGGATTGGCACGAAGGAGCTGGGAGATGAGTCAGCCCGCGCGTGGTCCCAGCGTCACCGCAGCCCAGAGGCACCAACGTGCTGCCTCTCCCTGCAGAGTTCAGTGGGGATGAGGTGTCCCCCCGTCACGGGCCGGACCCACACCTCTGTGGGCACGACAGGGGCCATCCCCACTCACCCCTGGATGTCTGGGAGTGGCTCACGAGGTCCCAGCTCTCTGGTCTCGTCCCCAGATGGGGTGGCCGTGGAGCAGTGGCAGCGCTCCTGGTGCCTGGAGGTGGCACAGGGACCCCGTGGCATTTGGGAGAGTGCCAGGGATTGCTTGGCTGTGCTTGCCAGGGATGATATCCTGAGTATGGCACACAGCAGCGTCACCAAGGTTTAGCCCCCCCCAGTTTGGGAAGCAAGGGGAGGGTCAGTGTCCAAGAGCAGGAACTGGCACCCAATGGAGAGCCTGTGTGGGCACATGGGGCAGTTTGGATCTCAAGTGGTAAAGGAAGGAGATAAATCACAGGCTTATTGTTATTGAATTTAGTGGCATTGCTTTCACGTTCCATTTCTCTCACCAGCTTTCCAAACAAACAAGAAATTAGAGCACAAATGTATTTTTGGGTCTAGCAAACATTACACATTAACTTACCCGTGATTACTATTACACAGGGAGGATGGAAATCTCTGTGGGCTGCTCACCACTCTGGTGAGACTGTGCTGCTCCTCGCTGCCTGGGGTGAGCCCTGTGTTCAGTGCCTTGCAGTCGTAGCCTTTTATGAGGGAGGCAGGACTGTGGCTAAGGGGGACAGGAACCATGTGCCACCATATCACTGCCCTCCCTCCTGCCCCAGCCCCCAGCAGCTCCAGAAGGGGAGCAGCTCACCCCTATCCTGCGAGCAGGCTCGGGGCCAGGGAAGGTGTCCTGAAGGGGTGATGACCATATCTGGCCAGCACTGAGCAGTAACTACATTTTCCAGCCGTTGCCAGTGCTCACTTTTCATTTTTGGATTGCTGCTTTCCCCTGAAGGACTCAGACAATCTTCTTCTGCTATAACAGACTGTACTTTTATATTAATGTGTCAAGTTGGAGGGAAATTTACTGCCTGGCAGAGCCTGTCAGGCCATGGAGACAGTGTCTTGTCTTCACCACAGCTCATCCTGCCGTGCCTCCACCGTGCTGGGGAAGGAGGAGGTTGGGAGAGCAGGCTTGGGACAGCCCTCCTGCATCCAGGAGGCTGACTGGGAGCCAAAGGCTTGCCTGGGGTGTTGGTTGTTAAAGCCTGGTGATGCTCAGAGCCAGGTGGTTATAGGAAGCTTAGACTGAGCCTCAGGGGTTGTAGCCACGGCCCCTCTGGTGCCCTGTCATCCCTCTGTCCTTACCCACCCTGGTCAGGATGGACAATGATGAGGCAGCCTGAGCAGGGCAGGGATGGTCCTTGGGAGTGAGAGGAGAGCTGGGCAGCCCTCACGTCCCCTTCCTGGCCATGCCAGCTCGCTGCAGAGGTTTTTAGGTGATCATCCCAGTGTCACGGGAGAGGCTTCAGCCTGAGGGCAGGAGGGGCAATGCCATGTAAGCTGGGGCTCTCGGTGCGTGGCGTGCTCAAGGACAGGGCACAGGGCATCCTTTCTGGCTTTGGAGGAGTGGGGCATCATTTTGGGTGGGCTGTTTTGTACAGCCCCGTTTGGTCCATGCAGCACAGCGTCTTTTGGGGGCCACATCTGCCAGCCCTGCGTGCCAGGAAGCAGTGTGGGTGAGTGGGTTTTAATTGCTGTGTGTCAGGGCTGGGGATATTAATGGGTGTGGAGATTGCCAAGGTATTTATTAGGTGGAGTATCTGGGGATAGAGTAATATAAATCACCGTGGCTGGTATTGAATGGAGTGGACGCTCAGTAATTTAAACAGCTTTAATAAATATGCTCCAATATGAGCTTTCTCACAGGCTGTAAGGAGAGTCAGTTATTGGGGTTTGGGGACCTAGTGTGCAGATCCTTCTGTGCTCCGTGTCCACACTTGGCTCTGTTGGAGGTGCTGGTTTGAAGATATGAGGTTGGGGACCAGACAGGGTGATGGGGTGGATGCCACTACCTGTGATGGGGTAGGGCTTGTGGCCAGGGCTTCCTGCTAGCACACAGGTCCACTGCAGTGCCCAGCTGGGCCTGGCGAGCTGGTGTGTTGACGGTGACTTTGCTGTCCTTTGTGCCTTGCAGTGCCCCCCCAGATTGTCAACATCTCGTCAGACATCACCGTGAATGAGGGCAGCAGCGTGACCCTTATGTGCCTGGCCTTTGGGAGACCAGAGCCCACTGTCACGTGGCGGCACCTCTCCGGGAAAGGTGAGACCATCCCTGGGGCTTGAGGAACAAGCTGGCCAGGTCAGAAGAGGGGCCTTGCCTGGCCTGTGGAGGGAGGAAGGAAGGGAGGGAGGGAGGGATGGATGGGTGGATGGATGGCTGGGGTGGCAGGAAGGTGTCCCACAGTCCGCTGGGGTCTGTTGCGAAGGGTGGAGGTGCTGGCCCTTGGGTGCACGGGGGATGCAGGTGCTTGTTAAGCGATGCTCCAAGTTTCCTGGGTGAAGGCTGACAGTGCCACGCGTTGGGGACGTCTCCCAGGGCAGGGCTTTGTGAGCGAGGATGAGTACCTGGAGATCACGGGCATCACGCGGGAGCAGTCCGGGGAGTACGAGTGCAGCGCCGTCAACGACGTGGCCGTCCCGGACGTGCGGAAAGTCAAAGTCACCGTCAACTGTGAGTGCAAGGGGTGGGGGAATCGGGTCAGGCGGGCACAGAGCCTGGCATGACGTGTCCCGGCCTCTCTGCAGACCCGCCCTACATCTCGAACGCCAAGAACACGGGCGCCTCAGTGGGTCAGAAGGGCATCCTACAGTGCGAGGCCTCGGCCGTCCCTGTGGCAGAGTTTCAGTGGTTCAAGGAGGACACCAGGTGAGGGGCTGCAAAGGGGGGTCGTGGGGCGGGGTGGGAGGGCAGGGGTCCTCGTATTTTTTTTTTAAGTGGTTGGGTGAGGGGCAAGGGTGTCCCAGTGTTATTCCTCCTAGGGGAGGTGGATGTGGCTTGTGGGCTGTGTGGGCCAGGTGGGGAGATGGGTTTTGGGTTGGAGAGAACAGTTGTCATTTTGGGCAGTGTGGTGGGGTGAAGGGCGTGTCTGAACAGAGGAACATGTGGATGTATCATGGTGCTGCCTGCTGGGGAGGGACGTGTTGTGAAGCAGCAGCATGGCACTCTGAAGGCCTTTGACTCTATTTCCCCGCAGGTTAGCGAACGGGCTGGAGGGCGTGCGGATCGAGAGCAAGGGCCGCCTGTCCACACTGACCTTCTTCAACGTCTCAGAGAAGGACTATGGCAACTACACGTGCGTGGCCACGAACAAGCTGGGCAACACCAACGCCAGCATCATCCTGTATGGTAGGTGTCCTGGGTTTTTTTTTTTTGCAGCAAGGTACAGAAAGAAGAGGGATGAGGAGGAAGAATAGGAGGAGAAGGATGAAGAGGAGCAGGTGGAGGAGGTGATGCCTCTGCCAGAGACCTGCCTGCCCAACGACTCTCCGCTTCTGACTAAGCCATATCCTGCACCAGGGCCCCTGCTCCGTGCTCTCCTTGGAGGCTGCCAGCTTGAGGACCCTCCTTTCGCCTACTCAAGTGGCTTAACCCTGCTCATGGCCCAATCCTGACCTGCCTTCTCACAGGAGTCTCCAGGGAAAGTGACCTCTAAGAGCGGTGTGGCCAGAAATGTGCCCACCCTGGGCATCTTCCTCCTCCAACCACCAGCACGCCTCCTCTACATGTCCCTCGAGCTCCTTGCATACCTCCTCCTCCTGGAACCCACACTGCAACGTTCCCCAAAGGATGGACAAACCCACTCATCCCACCCCAGAGGTGGAACACAACGCTCCGTATTGGCTGCGGGGGATGCTGAGCATGGGGATGGAAGGCAGAGGGGCCGAGGAACCACTGCAAAAATGGGGAGGGGGTGTGCTATTGCCTGCACTCCGTGCTGCCCTTAACCCTGTCTCGTCTCTTCCTCCCCTTCTCTCCCCTGCACAGGTCCCGGCGCGGTGCACGACGGCGGCAACGCGGCCTCCCG